TATATATATATATATATATATATATATATATATATATATATATATATATATTGTATCCACAAAAGGTAAATATCACAATTTACTTTTGAAAAGAATTACACACCTTTTCCATGGAGTCTTATAAGTTCACGTAAAGCTGTCGCTGCCCCATGGCGTATTTCCCACTTCTGACTGAACAAGTCCTGACAGAGGCTCTCTGCAAAGGATTCCAATGGCCAATTTATGACGGAATCTGGCCAGCATCCAGTTATATCTGGAACGCCACTCGCTTGCTCGTTATATGCACTGGATGACTTAGATCCAGTGTCCGATGCGATAATTTCATCTAATAAGAGTTTCTTGACTGAAGGTTCAGTATCATCTGGCGATTGGACATTCGTCGAGTTCGCATGGTCTTCGCGATCGTCGGGTTCGCGTGAACGTTGCTTCGACACTGACTGACGTGCCTGTATCATTAAAGTTTGAATTATTAGTATTTTCATTGTGAACATTATTTATATAATATAAAACCATTACGCAAATATTTTCACAGTTTTCAAAGCATACGATTATTCATTGAAAACGCGATGCAATTAAAAAGAAGTACTGATTTTTAACAACAGTTGAAAAGTGCACAATACCTTGCGCTTTGCTCTATTCATTTCCCTCCTACTCAATCCTTCCGATTGTTTTAAAGTCTCATTCACGGGAATCGTAGTGACGTTTTTTGTGCAAGGTGATTGCACCGAAGTGAAATCCTCAATGTCAAACAAGTCGGCGGTAAAATTCATTAGACGTGGATGAAAACCTAGTTTTATAGCCAGGTTTTCCTTCTGATCGGGACCCGTCAGTTGCTCTCCTTCCGCAATAATCAGATCGTACTCACTGCCCTCGGACCCAGTGAGATGCGTACTACGAGCAAGAACTTTGCTCACATCGAAGTTTTCTAATTTCAATTTCGTAGAGGTCTTGCGTCTCACTACATCGTTACATTCGTCTGTTAATTTGAAAGACATGCGATCAAAACCAACTTAATTCTTCTCTCCCCTTCTTAAGAGAATACTTGAAAATACTTGAGAATACTTGAAAATTTTACTGACTAAATATTACATCAATAAAGATAAAAGGAAGAACAATATGAGTTTAATTTGCGGTTGTTCTGCGCTAATCGTTTATTTAACAAAATCTGATTTAAGAAAAAAGGAACATTTCGATCAATTTTATGGTCATCCTCAGACGCAGTTACAATACTGAAAACAAAGTGACGCAAACGCAATGGAGAATATACAAATTGCATGGTCAAAGAGTCAAATAGATGATTGTTAAAGTTTTCAGAATTTTAGATCCCAATGACTTTCCACAAGTAATTCATGATGAAACGGACATATCGGAGGTTGAAAGACCTCTTTTCTGCAGTTTTCTGCAAGTCGAACGTTGTTGACAAACGATAATGTGGAAAGTATCGCACATCAGGTTCGAGACCAAAAACAGCTGTAGTTATGAAAAGAGATACAAAGTCGAACTATAAATTAATCTTAATCTAATTCATTAGATCAATGAATGATCACAAATTAGACTTATATTGTCCTTTCTCCTTTTATCTTTATTGACTTTAATATGTGTAAGACCTCGTTTTATTTTATACTACATATTTTCAATCTTTTTCTGCAAAGTTTAAGTCGCATTTGCTGCACAGAACACAAAAGCTTTTACATAACGAAAATATGCGCGAAAATTAATTAGTATATTGCTCAATATGTGACGAAAACAATAAAAATTTTCAAAATTAACATTTCGAATCGTCAGTTAGCCTAAATATTTGCTTGATAGGTGTGTTTGTTTGCTCAGAAAAATTTCAGAGAACATTACTGTATCTTTAGAACTGAATTTGAAAACTTAAGAACATATAAAAAGTTTGTAAGATTTTTATACACGATATATCTGACACGAAATGACCAAAAGCACGTGTAAATTAGATCAAACTGAATAGAAAATGTTTCTACCATTTTTCAAAAAACCATAAAAATTTCGAGATATTAATGAAAAAAGATCGGTGAACTAACGTGCACGATGTACATGCGATCTTACCGAAAATGGCTGTAATTTGCAACTGTTTCTTAGCGACACGCATATGGCACTCGCGATACGTCGAGAAACAATTATCTACACGCCGCACGTCATTACTTCACCATCAGCTATCAGCTGATAGCCATTGTCGCAAAGAGGCAGTCGCACTTCATTTTAGACGAGACCGAGTTCGTTCCACGGCATCGTACGCACTGGTTCGCCAAACATTTTTTTATTAATATCTTGAAATTCTACATAATTATTTGAAAGACAGTGGAGGAATTTTTTGTTCAATTTGACTCAATCTATCTGTATATGTGCTTTTGGTTATCTTATGTCAGTCTATATATGCAAGTTTTCTGCTAAATATAGTAAAAAAAAGAACGCATATTTATATAAGATTCATATCTGCAAGATGTGCGAAAAAGTAGCATATCAAGAATTTGTTATCCACTTTGGTATTCTCTTGATTTTACATGCCTTCATCAGATACTGAGCTAATTCATTTTATTTTTGCACATACTTCCATTATATAGAAGCATTTTGTAATCAATACAATATAAATTTTGCAGAAAAGAAATCAGTATTTTGTTGATAAAATTTTCAAGTATGGAATTCCTTTAAAAACTTTTACTTATTACACATGTAAGAATATTACCAGGATCCCTTTTATTGATAGGATCTGGATTCCAAGGTGGAACTTGGGAAAGTATAGCTTGCACAGCATGAGCAGCAGATATTCGTGTATCCCATTGTGAAGATTTCAACAAGGTAGAAACTCTTGCTAACAAATGATGCAGATCATGAGGATGTAGTCTCTGTGCTTCTCCTAACTGTTGTGCAGCTGCTCGTTTGGTTGCCACATTTGTTCCAGTCTCCAACAGTATGAATAATCTATCCAATCTGTAAAAGCAAACATGTTAGAATGAGCAGACATTGTTACATGCAAAATGTAAATTACAGACATAAAAAATTCATTGTTAATCATTATTCGTACAACTTGTACAAAGTAATATCATACACTATAATATATGAAGCATCTACTATTATAAATTTCCTAGAAATTTGAGTTTGTGAGAATATTTCTTTCATTCATATAAGTGTTTCTATAAATATTTATATGTTCAAAATATTGTGTTGACATGAAACTCTTAGCGTTAGATTAAAGTATATATTGAGATTATACAATTTATTTCAACTTACCTTGATGTCATGATTGTGTGTAATATTATTGGGTAGATCACCTATGAATACCTGAAACCAAGAAATAACAGGCACTTACAAATTGTTATTGTTTGTATTGGTTATAAGTGTCCTCAGAAAGTATACAGTTGTGAATAGAAAAATTAACCACAATTTTCGAGATAAATTTGTGAATTCATCCATCTTGTCCAACTGGAGAAAAGATGAATTTATTTTTCAATGGGAGAATTTTCAATTCATTTCTCAATAGGATAATTCTCTCATTGGACCAGATGCAAAGTTTGCAAACTCGTCCCAAAAATTACAGACATATTTGTCTACGACTGTACACATGTATATGTTACAAATTGATACTAACACTATTGGGTAGTTTTTGGTAGTACTCAAACCATCGATCCTCCAGTTTTGCTATGGAACAAACTCAAGTTACCAACTGTGCAATATTAGTAAAGAACTTAAATCCTACAATTGCGCGAATTACCGATAGCTTTATTGTGTAAGGAACAAGTAGAACATATGGAGCATGTTATATAAATAATCCTCATACCGTGATGTGTTTGGTACATGATAATACATAACGTCGGAATAATGATGGGTGAATATCGAATACTTCCCTTTGGCTTCCCGCGAGGAGAGTTCGTGAAACATGATCTTTCAAAGGAATCAGGATCAAAGGAAAGAGGAATAGTATTGTAGCGATTGATCATCGAAGCTAGAGCACTTGAGCACGGTAGAGTAGCGCGGAGTTGCGAGAAGATGCGAAGAGAGAATGGGGTGGAGACGAGAGAGAAGAAAAAAGAGAGAGAGAGAGAGAGAGTCAGAGAGGTCTGGTGAGAACGCGTCTCGAAAGCATTGCGCGATATCGCGCGGCGGTACCACCACGACAGGGTGATGGACATGCGCGAGCCGATCGCGTGCGGCCCGTCGCAGGGGGACGCGCACGAAACCGCGCTCGAGCCTCGGACCGAGGCGCAATATGGACATAACGAGCGCGAGCCGATCGTCAAGAGTGACACTGGGTGACGTGTGTGTACCTGTTCTCTTTCTTGGGAAGCGTTCTCACTGCCTCGCACCAACATTAGCCAACCTGCATTGCCGTGTCCCAGCGTAGCACGTTCACGAAAGTCACATCACGCCGTGCGCGTCGCAAAACTACACATACGCTTGTCAAATATCTCGAAGAGAAACTCATGTTACAAGCATCAAATTTATACTGACAGCCATATTGCTGGTGAGCCTGAGTTTTGTCCCCTGATTTTGCTCCCATTGGCCGACAACGCGCATGTCACACGTCGGCCGGCCAATCACTAAAACCCCCGTTCAACGATCGTACGTAAGTGTATGTAACGCGTCTACTGTAGCTACTGAAGTTGCGCGGGGAGCATATTTCGTATTACGTGCGTACAGCGTCGAGCCAATGGCGGCGCCACCGGTGGCCCGATGAGTTTTTCATCTGCCGTCAATAACATCACATGCCGACAATTTCGCGATGATGCTCGTGTGATGGTATCGATAATGCAAGATATCTGGTGTGTCGGTTGACAACACGCCAGGATTTTGCCGAAGATTTTAAGATTATGGTCAAGCGGATTTTACGTCAAGTGTCGTTTATGTGATGCATATATGTATAGTCAAAGCGCAGGCGCTCCTAAGGCTGAGTCCCATGACATGTATTTTCCGCGTACCGCGTAACTAATAAATTGCGACGTTTTGTATTTCTGTTGGAACTTCTAAAAGAATAGAAAGATGCGATTGGTTACGCATTACGCGAAAATACGTACCATGGGACTCCACCCTAAAATTGACTGATGAATGCGCGTAACCAAACGTTTTAATCAAAGCTCAAAATAGTTTTCTGTTTCGGTTTTTAACTGGTGTTTTTGTCAATCTTAAAGCCCATTCTACAATTGCGTGAACGTGGTTGTAAGTGGTTGTAAGTGATTACGACAACCTATCAGAGTAAAGCAATCAGTGAATAAAACATTCGGATTGGTTGACTCTTACGTTCACGACTACGCTTACGCAATTGTAGAATGGGCTTAAGACTAATATAACTGATCAAAGTTAGAAATTTAAAAAGATGAATGTGTTATAACAAATTAAAAAGTATCTCAGACAGTATAAGATCTTCAAGAGATATCCCGGAGATTTATGCGGACATTTAGAAGTCTTCAGGATGTCTTCGGAACGTCTTTGAAAGATTGGTGCTGTCTGGGATGTCATTAGTGGGGTAGAAGGCTTCGTTCTTAGGGCTATCGCACATAAATTGACATAACTGCATATGCATAGCACAAGATCGTATGGACCAATGAGCATCGAATATTAAGCATCGAACACCAATATGGCGACTTAATACTCGATGCTCATTGGTACATACGGTCTTATGTTATGCATATGCAGTTATGTCAATTTGTGTGCGATAGCCCTAAGCGTAAGCAGTAAAGCCCATTCTACAATTGCGTGAAGTGGTGTAAGTGGTTGTATGTGATTACAACAACCAATCAGAATAAAGCAATCAGTAAATAAAACATTCGGATTGGTTGACTCTTACGATCACGACTACGCTTACGCAATTGTAGAATGGGCTTAAAGGAACGTCTACATTGGAAGTAAGCAGTAAGAAGTAGAAAGTAAGAATAAGAAATTGACCAATTATAGTTGATTATTCTTCTCACATTCGACTGTGGTTGGTCAATTTGGGAACAATGCACTTGGACACGGTGCATTTGGACACAGCCAATCACAGCACCGTGTGATTAGAGAATTTGTAGGGTCCCTTGGAACAGCGACTTGTGATTGGACTGTGTCCAATTGCCCCGTGTCCAACTGATATACACCCGTTTTTGTAAGCCATTGCAAATTGTTCAAAGTTACCCCGGTGTTCCAAGTTACCTCAAATGACGGTATTTTAAATGTTTTAAAAAATGTTGAACGTTCTTTTTATAATATTAAATATATATTATAAAATATATTACATATAATATATAATATATAATATATAATATATATTATATATTATATAAACATTCTTTATATATATATATTTTTTTAATTCATATATTATATCTTTTACTATAAATATATATTATATAAATATATTATATAAATATTAGGATCTTGAATAAGTTCTCGTTGATTTTTCGTGAAAATTAATGCTTTATATAAAAAAAGTCGTAAGATACATATCACTGAAAGTATTGTCCATCGCTAACCACTACTTTTTCCCATCTTTCTGACAGCATTTGAATTCCACGTCAGAAAAACGACACGTCTTTTGAGGCTATCCAAGAGTCGACCCATTTTTTGGGATCTTCATAAGAATGAAAGTGCTGCTCAGCCAGGCCATGTGCCATCGATCGGAACAAGTGATAATCGGAAGGAACAATGTCTGGTGAATACGACGCGTGGGGTAGGATCCCATTTAAGCGTTTCCAAGTAGGTTTTCATCGGTTGTGCAACATGTGGCCAAGCGTTGTCATATTGCAAAATCACTTTGCCGTGTCTCTGCTCATATAGCGGCCGTTTTTCCTTCAATGCTCGGCTCAAACGCATCAATTGTAGTTGATAGCGATTTCCCGTGATGGTTTCATTCGGTTTGAGCAGTTCATAATAAACTACACCTCGCTGATTCCACCAAATGCAGAGCAGAAGCTTCGAACCATGGATATTCGGCTTTGCCGACAATGTTGATGCATGCTCGATGAAAAATTTTTCATGCATAATCATATAAAATTTGTCCATATATAATTATGTATAATTATAATTATATATAATTATGTATGGACATATATATATATATATATATATATATATATATATATATATATA